ATAACTGGCTGGGCTTAATGGTCCTTACTGTGTCCTGGGCCATTTTCCCAGCCAGCCATTAATTCCAAGCCATGCCCTGAGCTCTGGCCATTATGGCTCCCTGGGCTGAGTGGCTGCCCTGAGGCAAATGGTCACAGCCTCCTTCTCTGCAGACGGAGGCTTCCACAGTGCCCTCCCCCTTCTTCCCTCTATGGCAGCGGTAGTAGAAGGGCTGAGAGCTGCAGGCAAATTGTTGGTTAGGGCACCACACTATGTCTTCTTTCCATGTCCCAGGAGGCAGGTTTTCTCAGAGGACAGAGAAGGCAGGGAGTTGAGTTTCATTCACTCATTGATCAATCCATCCATCTATTCAGTATTAATTGAGTGCTTTTTATGGGTCAGGAAGCAAGAGAGATTGCCAAGATTGGAGTGACCTAATATGGGCATCCATGTTTCCTGCCAAAGGATGGAACACCTCACCAAATGGGATTTAAGGAAAACATCCCCAAGAATCAGGGAGGCTGAATCCTGTCAGGACGAAGTCAGAGAGAAGGGCTCACTAGGCAGTGAGTTTGCTGGGAGCTGCCTCCCCTCCTGTGTCCTCGGCCGAGTTTTATCTCCTAGGCTGGCTAGCAGAGCCACAAGTTCACCTTCCGGAGCTCCACTGAGTGATTCATCGACCCAGCATCTGAGTGCTTAAGGGAAGAAGATGTAAATACTGCATCAGGAATCTGAACTCGCCAAAGCATGAATATTTCCACCCATATCATTAAGCCACTAAGGATTATAATGGTCCTGAGATGTGGAGGAACGTGGCTCTCTCAGAGGACTGGAACACATCCCGAGAAGCAGGGTCACACAGTTTGTATAATTTTTAGTCATTCTGGCTCCCAAGACATCATTAGGCCCTCCAAATGCAGAAAACAGACTTCATTTCCTTCTTTGGAAGTGATTCAGCCTTGGGTACATGCTCTTCTCAGCTGCGGGAAGTGTAACATTATGTTTAGAACAGCTATTGTCATTTTATTGGCACCACTTACCAGAAGGCACTTAAGGCATAATTCAGACTTCAATCTTTTTTGCATTGTTTGGTGCATCTGCACAACTCAGAGAGTGGGTATTGCTGCCCGAGGTGATCAATACCTCAGAGCTAAGGCAGGCGGGCAGGAATCAGGAGGGGGAGTTTCGGGCACTGGGTGGACCCCAGCGTGTTCTGGTGGGGACCAGTAATCACAGAGGGTCAGTGAGGCACAGTCAGGAACCTTGGCCTTCCCTGAAAGGGTCTTCAGCTGGCTTCACATGGGCACAGGAGAAAGAGAGAGAGAGAGAGAAAAGGCCTTGGAATCTCCATAAGATGCTACGAGTTTCACCTGTCAACCAGCCTGTGCTCTGGGAATTGCAGCAGGATAATTAATTATGGTGGGAAGAGATGCTGGGACCTTTCTTAAGAATGTTTTCCCCAGTAAAAATGAGCACGATATCTTGAAATTATAAATCACACTAGAAAACTCAGGATGATAATTCTAAGTGAGTCTGATGAGAAAAAGCAGGATCCGATGGCCTTCGGGTCCAGTGGAACAAAATCTTACAAAGTGACCTTATTAATCAAGTGTATTGAATTACAGAGTACCTCAGGGGTGTAATAAGAGCTCGGTAAATGTCTTCTAAACAAATCAACGAATGAATGTCATCTGGCTACAAGTACCTAGTTGATCCCTCTTTCTTTTCCTGGTGAGAAAGTCAAGTACCTGATTGGTGATAAAGTCTGCTTTAGACTCTGGGTCTTCAACCCTAATCATCACTGAGTAACGTGCAGATGGTCCTGTCACCTTTGTAGGAATTTTTTTAATGGGCTTCTCCACAAGTAGAGGTTTCCCAGGATTCACGACTTTCTATGCTAAAACCCAAACAATCCCTAAGAAACAGGGTCAGTCAGTCACCCCAAGTGTCAGAGTCCATCCTGTGGTCTGCCCTCCTCCACCATCCACCCTCCATCGGCCTTTAGCAGCCGAACTTTGGCCTCCACTTCTTCATGTCCAACAGCCATCAAACTCTGTCACCTCTGTTCAACTGAGACTATTTTGGCTGAGGTCACCTAATCCAAAGAACACTTTCCAAGTCTGGTTTCACTTGTCCTATTCTGTCTTATGACACCGTTGACCACTCCCTTTTTAAAAATTGTCTCGTCTGTTGGTTTCCATTGCATAATCCTTAGCTGGCTGTCCTTGGACCTCTCTAGCTCTTCTAGACAGGCTCAAATGTCCCCTTCTCTTTGGTCCCACGGCCCTTGTGCCTCATTGTATTATAGTACTTACTGCACGGCCCTGTGGTTGTTTGTCTGGGGTCGCACTTGCCCCAGACTGCATGCCCCTTGAGGAGAAGGACAGGGTCTTATCTGTGTTTTATCTACAGCACCAAGTCCAGTGCCTGACACATAATAGGAATTCTGTCATTGAATAGAGCATTGTTGAACTTTCCCTTTCCATCCTTTATTTATGGGATGTGCACATAAAAAAGGAGAAGGAAAATGAAGTGTTTCCTCCATCGTTTGGCCTATTAAATTGCCCTCATCCCCAGCAGTTCAGCTAGTGGATTCAGAAGGGCTCCCTACTCCAGGATACAGCAGTTTTCTGAGAGGAATGGAGGCCACTTTCTGGGCATCTATACTGTGGCTCTTCCTCAAAAGGAAGGTTTGGTCTTAACCACACCGCACCACCATTAACTTAAGGCTCTGATTAGGTGAGTCTACTGTGAATGGGCCTGAGGAATGGAGGTATTGGCTAGAAGACCTTTGCCACTTTACTGCATCCACCAAGCCCAGTGTCCTGAGAGCAGTAACAACACTGCTGATTAAGAAATAGCATCACTGAGTTTCTGGGAGAGGAAAGGAGGTAGGCAATGAGTTAAGGAAACATCCCATGGCATTTATTGTATTTTTTCCACTGCCCTGCAATCCACAGTGGTTAAGCCCATGGGCTCTGCAGTCACATTTCTTGGGTTCAAATTCCAACTCTGCCACTTCCTAACTGTATGGTCTTGAGTGAGTTCATTACTTTTCTATCCCTCAATATTCTCATTGGTAAAATAGGGGTGATCCCAGAGTATCTTTTTGATGGGATTATTTGAAGAATTAGTGCAATTATATAAAAAGCTCAGAACAGTGCCTGCCATATAGAGAGCATCCAATAAATATCAGCTTCAGTGACCACTCTTTCCTTATGCCCCAGCCTTGCTGTGTTCTAAACAGCCCCTTTTACTAACACTTTAGCACAGCCAGCCTCCTCATCCTGTCACACTCTCTTGCACTCCTTTACTGACCCCATGTCCCTCACTAAAGCATAAACATTGAGGCGTTCTGTTTTTCCATTCCATTTGCATTCCTACTGCCTAACACAGTGGCTCTCACCTAAGAGTAACTGGGTGTTGAATGAATCACAAGAATTTCCAATGGTAGAATGGCCATTTCACAAGCCCGTGTGTCAGTTATCAACCTAAAGGGATCAGTGCTGCCTTAGTGAGTACCTGAAGCGCCCTCCACAGGCTGATAATCCCAATAGCAGCTATCATTCATTCAATGATCGTGTGCCAGGACCTGTGCTAAGGATTGGTTCAACCCCATGCAATTGTTATTTTTGTGGGTCAAATATTGGCAGTTTCAAATGGCTCAATCTAATACTCAGTGTATCTTAATTATTTTCATTCTACCAAAGAATGGGGCAGTCATTATCCTCAGTTAGAGATGAGAAAACAGACATGAACGTTGGTGACTTGCCCAGGTCCCATAGCTAAAAGGCGGTGGACACAAGGCTGGACCACCCTGTCACACCCTGGAGCTGGTACCCTTGGCCACCATGCAAGAGGGAAGGTGGTTGCCCTCAGGTGTTCTCTGTCTGCTTCTGAAGACAGAGCTATGGCTCAGGAAACTCCCAGAATAAACACAAGACTGAATATATGCAGCCCTAAAGTGGATCCGATTTCCTGTGACCGACCATACAGGGAGCCAGTGTGTCCTGTTCAAAGTTAATAGGGAAGAAGGGCAGAGGCACCAGGGGAATCTAACAGTGCAGCTTCCCTCCAGAACATTCTTGATTGTCATTTTCTTGTGCACTTGCTGGCCTTGGCCTCAGGCCCTAATTACATTATCTTCAAACAGCAACTGAGAGAGATTCTCATTAAACATGAACAGGAGAATGTCTAATTTGTTAGAATGTAGGTGTTCAGAAAGCAATCATTGGTTCAGGGCACTGAAATGAGCATTGTCACTGGAGTTGTCCCTGGTGGGCGCTACGCGGCCAGGCTTCCACAGGGCACATGTCTGTGCCTCTGAGCTTGAGGTTTTCTTCACATTTTTGAAGATGAACCAGCTCAATTTCTCTCCCTCTACCCTTAAAATGGAAGAAACTATCCTAATTGTCATTTCCAAATTATGGCACCTGCGGAGTTATAATCTGCACGTCTTTCCCCTGTGATTCTTAGACAATGTTTATTTAGAATAAACGTATTTGTACAGCATTCAAGAATATTGATAAATGCTTAACTTTCAATAAGGTGAGTTAAAAACATCAAAATTAGTGTCACAGCAAATTGTAGTGTAGTCTTTTCTTCAACCTGGGGATAACTTTGGATTCAGAAAGAAGTGGGTTTGAAGGCATGACTTCACTCCTTGCTAGTTATGCATCCTTGGGCAACTTTCTTCACGTCTCTGAGCCTGAGTATCCTCATCTGTAAAATGAGGTAACAGCAACCTTGCTGGGTTCATATGACGATTTAGTTATTTAGCATCAGTAAGGCCCTGAGCCCAGTGTTTGAAGGTCAGTGCTAGCTCCAGTTCCTTCTTGTCCAAGGCTCCCTTATATCAATTTGGAAGAGAATGTAAGGGCTGATGAGCTAATAGCAGAAGGAACATATTCTGGCATGCGACAGGGAGAGGGGAGATGGGCAGCCATCTAAGGCAAGGAAGCAACCTGCCGGTGCCAAGTGAGGGGTCCTGCTCACAGTGTCCTTCTCCGCCTGCCTTCCAGCCCCTGAAAATGCACTGCAGGGACTGTGCCCTGGTGACAAGCTCGGGGCATCTGCTGCGCAGCGGGCAAGGCCCTCAGATTGACCAGACCGAGTGCGTCATCCGCATGAATGACGCCCCCACGCGCGGCTACGGGCGCGATGTGGGCAATCGCACCAGCCTGAGAGTCATCGCGCATTCCAGCATCCAGAGGATCCTCCGCAACCGCCACGACCTGCTCAACGTGAGCCAGGGTACCGTGTTCATCTTCTGGGGTCCCAGCAGCTACATGCGGCGCGACGGCAAGGGCCAGGTCTACAACAACCTGCAGCTCCTGAGCCAGGTGCTGCCCCGCCTGAAGGCCTTCATGATCACGCGCCACAAGATGCTGCAGTTCGACGAGCTCTTCAAGCGGGAGACTGGCAAAGACAGGTACAGAGACCGGGCGGGGAGGGGGAGAGGGCAGGGGGAGGGTGGCGGGGGAGGAAAAGTCGTTGCTAGCTGATTCACCAAAAGCAAAGCTTTTGCTAAGGGTTTTTGTTGTGGCCCCTCTGCTTGTGCCACTGATGGAGCTCATCTGTAGGATCCTGCTGGAGACTGGGCTCCTCCAGCTGAATTTATATGGCAAAGTGAAATGAAGCCCTGAGACAATTATGTGGATAATTCAGGGCTCAATCCCGACCCAGGAGGAAGAGGCCACGGAACTGCTGGCTTACTGGTAATCAGTGCAAGATGATAACTGTAGTGCATTTCATTTCACTCCTGTGAACAGTACCCAAGAAGAAGTGTATGGGTTTATTTTTCCCTTTCAAAGGCAAATTCTTAGTCAACTGGTATTTAATGAGTGCCTGCTACTTCGGTGCACCTGGCACTGGGGATACAGCCAAAATAAGGCAGCTCTAAACCCTGCCTCCCAGAATATAAAGTGTTACAGGGCAGGCACACGTTCACCAAGTGGTGGCCAATGTGCTGAGGTCATGTGAGGGGAAGAAAAATGGTGCTGTGACATGCGGGACAAGGAGACCTGTCCTAAATATGATATAATATATATAATTATTTTACAATATAATATAAAGTACTAAATCCATTGTTTGTCTAGCTAAGGCAGCTCCTTATTAGAAAACAGAGTCTTAAAGACCAAAGCCCAGTGTTCCCAAATTCTCTGCAGAGCTTTCTTTTTAAATCCTGGAAACCTTGTGGCCATTTGAGGCCTGGTTCAGGGAGGAGTGGGCATGGTATCTGGTGGATGACATGAGGAGAGGGGGAGCTGGCTGCTGGCACTGTGGCCTCATTCCCTAGAGGCCCAGGGGACCACATGGTTAGCCCAGCCAGGAGATCCTGGTTGTCATCCCAAAGCTGCCATGAAATCCAGTCATGTTTTGCCCTTTAAAAACCACAATTGAGAGAGAATTATTTAACCAAAAGAGCGTTTTATAAGGGAAGCAGAATGAAGGGAGTTATTTACAGTTTCATTTTTGCCTGGTTGGAAAATTCAAAATAAGTAGAAACACTCTCTCCAACAGAAAACACTTCTCTCTTTTCGGTTTAATGGTTGTTTGCTAAATTTAAGAATTCCTGAAACACGGCCACAGTGTTCGCTAGTTAGGATAATTACGCAGTGGTCTGGATCTTGTTTAGGGATTACTTTAAGTTGATCACTTGGAGGCTAGTCATTCCACCCTTTGGTCATTTAGATCTTTGGGAAACAATCTCACATCAAGACATATCCCATTCACTAAATTCATTAAGTTCTGACCAGTGAAAAGTTTCCGCTCAATAAGTCCGTCTCCCTGGTGAGCCCAGCTGGTAAGCAGGGAGTGAAATCTTCGTGGATCGGTTACTGGGCCTCTCATGTGTAGACATCCATCTGCAAGGATCCACAGAGTCCCCAGTCAGGGGAACCACACTTCTGGTTTTGTAGCTTGCCAAAGTATGTTGTCACTTCTAGAATCTTTGTGTCTTTTACCTTTAGGAAACCATCTTAAAGAAGCTAATATTGTATTGACTCAATGTTCCTATGTGTCCATATTCTTAACCTGCAGCCTACCCAAGTTAAAAGAACCAAGTCATAAACAGCCCTTCAGAACAAAAGTATTTCTGTAAATTAAAACGCAAAACATTTAGGGTCCAATAGTATTTCTTCTATGCATGTTTTTCTTGAAACCCAACCAGTAGCACATATTGAAGACATACAAAGTAAGGAATAACTAATTTTGCACATCTCATGATCAGGAAATTCATTTCAGGCTAAGATTTCGAAGAAATAGGATAATTCAATAGATTTTGATTTATAGAAGTTTCACTCTACTTGAAAGTGGAGAAAAAATGGCTCAGGAACAATCTGCAAGTAAGAACCATGACAAATGACATAGATGGCCAAGTGGTATTCTCTGATATTAGAAAGTAACTGTACTTGAAAATAACTTTATAATTGAATAAGGGTACATTAGGAAAATATGAGTCAGAACCAATATTATAATAATTAGATAAAGGAAGCATAAATGAAATAACTGCGAGAAGATTATTTCCATAGAGATTATAAATGAGATTCTGGTGGAGCAGAAAGGCCCTTAATTGTAATTTAGTGTGCACTATAGAATTACCAGCTCAGTGTGTTACTTCATCATATAAAAGAATATCTGATAATTTTCCCTAATAAGCACATGACAGCTCTTCATATTCCTTCATTACAGCTGATTAAGTGTAAAAACATTAGATATTCCTTTGTTGGAAAAAGAGTTCAAATCTTTCTAGAAAGACACCGCAAAGCAGTTGCATTTCTATAGCACGTGATCCCAAAAGGCTATAATTTAAGAAGTCTGGGGACTTTTAAGTGGCACTTTAAAGAACTCTTCACTTTAGTTTCTTTAGCCCTCCATTTTGTATTCTCCCCGTTTTTATCCATGAAACTCTTTTCTGTGGAGCCACATCCTGCTGTGTTTCAGGCTGTGGCTTGTGATCTCCAGTACATCACACAGAAGAAAGCTAAAATTATGGGGAGTTTCTGCCACTGGGAAAAGCCCTCTTAGTGTTTCCAACAACTCTAAAAGCATAGGGACCCAGCATGAGCCCCAGATCGGGAATCTTGGGATAGAAGTGAGTTGCCATTCTCTTCTTGGGCTCCACATCCTCCCAGTTATTCACTCACCCAGTGAAGTCTAGAACAACTCGCCATTTCGTTGTCACAGCCCCATGGGTGAAGGCAAGCTCTAACCTAAGGCCCTTCCTCCCTCTCCCTTTCCCCTGCCCCACCCAGTCAGCTCTGTTCCAACCCACCTCCTTCAGTCTCATAGGTCTAATGATTATATAGCCCTGGTGAGAAAGAAGGGGGATTGTTAACACTTATGTAGGCTGGAGGCTGCAGAATTTTGTAATTGCTGCCCTGACTGCTAAAGATGGCTACTACACCCGAGTCCAGGAGCACAGTGTTGGAAGGGTATCAGTTTCTGCCTGGTGCCTAAAAGCACTGAAAGGAATGGCCAAATTATTTACTTCATTTGCTCCAGCCTAGCAACCAAGAGAGGAGGAAGGGATCTCCTCCATGTAGCAACACACCAGACTAGATACTCTTTACGGTGTTCTCTCACTTAGTCCTCAGAATAGCCCAGGAAGACAGAGCTTCACATGCCTGCTTTCTAGGGAGGAAATCAAGGCTCAGAGACCAGCAGTCACCTGCCTCAGGTCACTCAGCTGGTTAGTGATAGAAACAGGTAAGATACAAACCCATGTTATTCCCATCTTCAGGAGCTTTTAGATGTACTTCCTGGGATATTACTGGGTCAGGATACAATGGAACGGAAAACAAAAGTGAGTAAAGGCATTGAGAAATAGAAAGTTGAAGCCATCACTCAGGAATCACTCAGTCACCCATTCTTGTCAGGTGCTTGACAAAACAAAGGACTCCTTAAAATGCCTTTTTTTGTTATTGTCCTTTATGTGAAATGGAAATTATGCAAACTGCTGAACAAACAGTCTTCCTTCTCAAAGAGGGGCGCAACACAGTGCAAGCAGAGAAGCTTTTCTGCGTCTCTCTTATTCATGTCACACGTGGTGCTATGGCCGGGCAGATTCAGACAGTCTGACCTTGGGGATAAGGTGTTTGAAACTGGCTAATGAGGCATGCCATAAGCACTGGAAAAAAAAAAAACGTAAGAGCGCAACTCCCCGAAGAATTGAAATTAATTTCCACAGAGGCATGGCCTGGAGACCAAGTCGTTCTCACAGGGTCAAGTTAGACCTCATATTGTGTCCCCACAGTCATCCTGAGGCCTGGCACCTGGGTGGAGCTCAGGACAGATGTGTTGAGTGGGCAAATGACTGAATATTAGAATGCACAGATTCATTCCTTAAATTTTGTCAGCTTTTGATCTTCTAATAAAAATTTTCAGAGGGTTTTGTTCTGAGGTAAAATAAAGAAAATGCTCAGTTAAATGTAAGCATTCCTGTGGCCCTTTTCCTCTGGTCATTAGCTCCTTCCCAAATGAATCTACTCCTTCTAAGGAGAGATGTTTGTGTAACTTAGTCTAACTGAAGGCAAGCTTTTACCCTGGGATTGTTTGATCGATGGGTCGATCAATAGATAAACACATCATATTTAATAAGCTCTTCATTATCTAGCCTGCTTGGGGAACAAGGAGTATTTCTACCTAGTCAAGTATTGTAGTCAGTAAAGAGCTGTCACACGGGGATTGTCATCTTGCAAGGAGTTGAGTTGTGGTAATATCCACTTAAACATCGAAACACTGATCATCATCTTCAATGATGTAGGAGTCCCTTGAGCATCCTTTAGTGTCACAACTCCAGCATGGTGGCGCATCAATGTCATTTATCGTTGTACCCTGGAATATGGCGTTGTTGGTAAGAGATTTCTATCTGGTAAAGTTCTAGCCATTTACCAAATGGAGAGAGAGAGAGAGTGATCCTAGTCAGCCTTGCTCCAGAAAGGATTTAAGATGGTAGTGGGTATGATGATTACTTGTCCAGCTTGCAGACTTAATTGTGGTTCCTTCCAGGAAGATCTCCAACACTTGGCTCAGCACTGGCTGGTTCACAATGACCATTGCGCTGGAGCTCTGTGACAGGATCAACGTTTACGGTATGGTGCCCCCAGACTTCTGCAGGTAGGATTTATTCTGCAAGTATAATTCATCAGCAGTGTTGTGCAGGGTTTATAAATATCTGATTCCAAATATCACCCACAACACGTCTAACTGTCTTCTTGAAGCAATTAATTAACATGTCCCAAGTTCTGGTTCTAGAAAAAACAAACAGCATTTAATTATGTGATATAAAATATTGAAAGTTTTTGTTTGTACTGCTGGAGAATTAATCCATCTTGTGGGCTTCATTTATCCTCTGAATATTTATCAACCAAAGTAATGCAATAATTGGCATAATATTAATGATGAACAAGCATTAAGAAATACTAGTTTTATTCTCATCTGAAAGGAATGTGGTAATTTTTAATGAATTAAAGAGGGCAATTCCTTTGACAGGAAGGCCTGTTTTCTAAAATTAAAATATTCCTCTGAGCCTCTTTCCCTCGCCATGTCAGTAGCCTTGGTTTGTGCTTCTGAGGCCGAAAGCATAGGCATAATTATTTTGATGTATCACTTTAAGGGGAACACACACACATCTGTGGCTACCTTAAGTTCCTCTTGCCAGGTGCCCAGGCAGAGTTTGGAGTGTACCAAAAGATGCCCTGAGAAATGTTTAGGGCCTGATTTGTAGTAGTCCGATTGAAAATTCACCTGTAATTTAAAGTAGTAATGCCACTAAATTTAGAAAGTGCCCTAGTTTTCAGGAATGTCTGATGACCCACACACGGCCTCAATCCTCATCTTCAAAATGGTAAAACCTGGGGTAGGGGGCATTTTAAACTCGCTCATTAAAATTTCTACTTGCTTATACCTTCACGTGTTTTAAACCTAACAATTTCTCGAAGCCCATGGGCCTTTAGGCAAAATCTACAATGTGCACGTTTGATACAAGGACGATAAAGAGAACTTAATCATGCCACTAGCACACTGCCACTTTCCTTCCACCTTTTTAACCCAAAGACCCCCTGCAGCAGCAGTGCTAGTTTATACCTAAGAGTCAGGTCACAGAGGAGAAGGAAGGGTGTGGGCAGAGCAGGCCTTTCACATCTGCCTGGACTCACTCACTTCAGTGGTGACATAAGGTAGTGAGGAAGGGTGTGGAGTCTGGAGCCGGACTGCCCAGGTTCGAAGCCCGGCCTGGCCTCTTACTAACCCAGCGTGACCTTGAGCAAGTTGCTCAGTCTCTCTGTCTCAGCTTCCTCGTCACGAGAAGTGCTGTGATGATAATAATAGACACTGCCTCATAGGGTGGTAGGTGGATTAAATAAGTTAATACATGTAAAGTGCACGGAACAGCGCCTCATATGTGGCAAGAGGTAGCTTAGGTCCTCACCCAGTTCCTCATCACTTAATTCACTGGCCTTGTTTCCCTGTATAACAAATGATGTGCAAAAAGTAGGAAGGATGATGTAAAAACGCAAACTGCCCCCTCAAACCAACAGGCTAACAAAGGCAGAGGGAGTAGCATTTACAGGAGTGCAAAGAGCTGTCAAAGTTGATGGTTCCGCGGCAGATACAATTATGTAACGTTGCCATTAGGACGCCAGAGAGAAAAGCATGAATAAATTGAAATGTTAATGACTTAGAGTGTTCAAGGAAATATTCCATTTATTATGGAAAACAAATGAAAGGCAAGTTAACCTGTCACTTCTCTTACTCAGAGTTAGTTCATCACAACTTCATGTACATAGGCTGGAAACAATTTATGGGATGATACTAAGAAGGAAGTCAAGGTATTGTCAATGCACCAAATGTTGCCACCGGCTCTGGGTTTCTGTTCCTCAGCCACCAGCCCAAAGGTTTGATAGTTGTTCTCATGAGATGCTTTCAACAAGAACTCTTCAAAAGCATCCCTGTGCCCAGCGTCCTGTCCGAACAAATGGAGAAGTGTGCTGGGTGTCGTCCGGTGGGGAGGGTGAGGGTGGAGAGAGCATCGTGCTCACCCCTAATGCCTATTTAAGAAGGGTAAAAAGAGCAAGACCAGGAGAAGCATAGACTCATTCCCAAGTTCCCTTAATCTTCATTTCCATGTTGGCTGAACCCCAGGCCCAGCTCCTAACTGGATGACCTTGAGCCTTGCTTTCTTCTTCTGCAAAATGAGGATAAGAAAATAATAATAAGACCATCAGGTCATGGTGAGGATTAAATGAGATCATGGATGTAAAGTGTCTGACACAGTGCCCAGCACACAGTTAGTGTTCCGGAAAGATTATTGTTAAGATTACTAACACATTCATATCATACTGTAAGATATATAAAATTATTATTATTATTGTTATTATCCTACGTGCTTGAGATTTGCCTTGAAAGGTACCAAGAATTTGGAAGAGTTCAAAGAATAGAACACAGCCCTTGCCTCCTAGAGGCTCACAGAAGCCTCACCCATACCAAAATAGACTGAACATGGCAAACCCTCTTAGAGTCAGCTGACTCTTACAAACAGTGTCCGCCCCAGAGGATGAAAAAGCAATTCATAAGTCAGTCCTAATCACTGTTGCAGATGGCAGCAGGCCGTCCTCCTCCAAGCTTTCCCTGACTCCCTGTCTGTGTCATACCCTACCTGTGCCCCACTGGACCCTCGGCCACCTGCACCCCTGCCCCACCTCACTGACTGATCTGTCCATATCCTTCATTTTCCTCTAGGCTCCTTAATAGGAGCGATCATGCTGAACCCAAATTTGTGTCTTTAGCACTTGTCATTGTGACTGACACATGGTATGTATTCAATATTGATTGATTCAATGAATAAATAAAAACCCATCCTTTCTTAGTGGTGTTTAAGAGACTGATTCTAAACTCATCTTAAGACTAAAGGTGCCAGGTGAATGAGAAGTTTAAGTGCAAATGGCAAATTCAGATTTCAAGGGTCCTCAGAAGTCGGTAGTGGCCACCTGTTTCATTCTCACCTGGGGCCAGCTTCGGGTCCTCAAAGAGGTGCTCAGGTGTCAGTCTCCATCCTGCTTCCATCACCAGACTCCAGGCTCATCAGTGTTCAGAAAGCTGGAGAAAATTAATGCCATGGTGCACCCGAGATACCATCAAAATATATCATTATGGGGACAGTAAACCCTTAAATCATGCCATATCCATGTAGGAAGCCAAACCTATTCTCTCTGGATGGACTGTAAATTGCAGTGAAAAGATATGTTATCATTGCTTTCCAAACTAAGTTACGGTGAGTATTTTTAATCTCATTTTCCATTGTAAATTATTTGTGATAATAATGGGCCAAGCATTTAAAATCTACCTAATAATCTTATTTCTGGTCATACTTAACACTTTACTAAGTTTACAGCTCTCTGTTACCCATCATTTCTTGAGTATTAATTAACTGAGTGATGACGCAGAGTGATCACTGTCATGGAACTAAATTAATATCTCATCCATAATGTGAAGGACATCTCAAAGGTATCGTGAATATCGGAGAGTTGATTCTGCTAGAATTATTAGCTGGTGAACATTAATAAAGCTGCCAGCGTTAACGGGGAATGTTCCTACTTGGCGACAGGCCACCGTGTAGAATCAGACGCTTGCAGAGGACGGGTGAGGAATGGTAATGCATCCATGTGCTTCACATTTTATGATGTAGACTTAAAATATATTGTTGTATTTCTTCCTAGATGCGTATTGTTTCTTCCATCTTTGCCATAATTTGACCAACTCTTACCTGTCACCGGGTGTTTTTATTACCTTCCTCCTCCCTCCTGTGGGTACCATTAATGTATTATGAGATGTTAGGGCACCGACTGAGGTGCCTGAGCTGTAGGGGTGGGGGTGGGGTCCAGGTGACTCACTTGGCTCTTTGCCTCATGAAGGGTGGACAGCTGCAGGTTCTTGTGCTCCATGAGCCCCAGATATACAAGTATTATTCCACCAGCTTCCAAGGTGTGCAGCAGTTTCCTTCCAGAAGAGGCTCTAAGGACAAGAAATCAAGGTAGCAGAATGAAGGTGGGTCAGTGGGTCTCCTAGGCCTGAGGCAGATGTTTAGGAAGGCCTGTGTAGGAACATTTTCTTCTGATTGCTACATAGTGTCCCCAGATGCCCCCGGTACAAGCCAATTTCAGAACAGCCCAGAGACTTAAGAGCTATTAATTCAACTCGACTCCTCAAACATTTCCTGACTAGCTACTGGATGCCAGGTACCATACAAGAATAGAAGTGTGTTTGGAGAGAGTGTCTGAGCACTCTAGAGAGAGTGTCCATTCTTTCCTTGGGCCATTTGCAGCCTTATAGATCGTCCAGCCCCAAACCCAGTGAGCAAGTCAACCTGGATCATACCAAGAAATGGAAATATCCTCCCTGGCTTGTTAATGTTATAAGATTTCTTTCTAATTGTACAGCTTAGCTTTAGATGATTCAAAAATGAAACATCACAAACTCCTCCTGCCATTAATATTAGGGAGCAGAGCTGTAAATGGTCTGGAAGCCTCTGCTGAGCACCCCGACCAGCTGCTCAGAGCAGCCACCATGCACGGGGCACCTCTGTAGATAGGTGCTTGGGGGAACATAGCAAGGACTAAGTTGCTCCCAGTTGTGTGCACCAATCCCAGTGGGAACCTGGGCTGCCATTAGTACAGAAACCCACCTGGTGGGACAGGAGTTTTTCCAAATCACAGAGCCTCACTCTTAGGAGTACAGCTTTGTTTGAAATGTGGGCCCTGAAACTTATTCATTCTCTATGCATGAGTTTTCTCATCTGTAAAAGGGGGTAATAGTACCTGCCTTAGAGGGGTGTTAGGAGGATTAAATAAATTAGTCTGTGTGGAGTGCTGGGCACTGTCCTTCGGGCTGAAAGGGTCAAGCCAGCAGCTTAGGTGCCCCATGAGAGAGGCTGTGTGCTTAAAGCCCAGCTGGACTCTGCCCCTGGGCGCCGGATTCTCACCTATCAACTGGGAGCGAGGAACTTACCTTAAGCACCTGAAGGAGATGGAGAGGACATCATAGAAGTTAAGCACCTAGACTCAGCGGGTACTTAACTAAATCAGCTGACTCAAACCTGGCTGCAAATTAGAATCCCCTAAGGAGCTTTTAAACATTATTATATTTTTTAACTTTTTGTTTTGAAATCATTTTAGTCTTACAGAAAAAATTGCACAAATAGTATAGAGCTCCTGCATACCCTTCACCCAGCTTCCCCTATGTGAACATTCTGCATGATTAGAGTCCAGTTATTAAAGCTAAGAAATTAACACCGTACAAGTCTTAACAAAACTATAGCCCTTATTCAGATTTCACCAGTTGTCCTGCTCATATCCTTTATCTCCTCCAGGACCCAGTCCAGGTCCCCTTTGCATTTCCTTGTCGTGTCTCCTTAGTCTCCTCCCCCTGTGACAGTTCCACATCTTTCTGTATCTTTCATGACCTTGACACGTCTCAAGAATTCTGGTCATTATTGTAGGATGTCCCTCACTTTGGATTGGAGAGCTATTTTCTCATGATTAGGTTGAGGTTATGCATGACTGGGAAGGAGCCCACAGAAGCCGTAAGCTCTTCTAGCATCTCACATCAAGGGCTACCTGCTGTCACAATGTCTTATTACTGGTGATATTAACCTTGATCTCTGGTTAAGCTGGGGTCTGCTGGGTTTACTTATTGTAAAGTTACTATTTTTCCCTTTGTCATTAATAAATATCTTAGGGGAGATACTTTATGCAGATAACCAATTTCTCCCCCTCTTTTTCCCCACCGATGTTCCATTGACTGGTGCATCTTGCCTGCAACAATTACTGGGCTGCACTAATGCTGATTTTCTAGTCCCTCATTCTTTCTAGATTTATAATTTGGAAACTTCTATAAGGAAATGCTGTTTCTTCTCCTCATTTATTTATTTATTCGGTTATTTATTGAAATCATCATGGAGTCATGGATATTTATTTTATTTTATGGGTTTTATAATCCAATACTGCCATTATTTATTTTGATACTCAAACCTAAGGCACTTTTTAAACTACCCATGCCTGGGACCCTCTCCAAATCAATTAAACCAGAAGCTGTGGAGGTGGAACACAGGCAATGATGTTTCTTTAAAGCTCCCCGTGTGCGCTAAATGTTCTTTTTTTCCAATCTCCCCACCTGCTTCCTCTAAAGAAAAAAAATGCTTCTCCACATTATTTTGCCGGATTTGTTCCCGTCCTGGCCCTTGAAGTGCTGATGACGGGCTGTAGCCACTTAGGGAACTGGTTCTATGATTATCATGCCCCCGTCCCCCACACCTTCACGCCCTCGGCTTCCCCTGGCCCCACACAGGAACCTGGGTGCCAGAATCCTCCCTTTTACAATAGTAGTCTCTGATGTAGAAATTCTGCTGATATTTATTGTTGTTTTCATTTGGATCAGGTGGAGGAAGAAAAAGCTACGGCAGCCTTTAGAACATCAGGTTTGAGAAAAGCCCAACAGAACCTCACCCTTGAACTGGGAAGGGCTTTCTGAAGGGAGCCATGGGTCATGGCCGATGGCAGGCCTACAGCCAGGAGGGCTCTTCCTGCAGCTGCTTGGCTCTGCCTTCTCAAGTCCCGCAGAGCACTTTTCTGCCATTTGGACAGAGTCTTAAAGCGTGGAAACAACCTCCACTTATTTGGACACCTTTGAAATCATAATAACCAGATGTGTAAATTTAATTCTCCCTTTAGGTGATCAATATGGAACCAGATAAGTTTTCATTCAAAGGGATGGTCTTCCTCAATAAGGAAATTGATCCTATAGCATCCTTTAGCTGGTTTCCAATTTCCCTCTATTCCTAGATGCCAAATCAATCTCACGGTATTTTTAGAAACCTAATTGTTTCTTTAGTCAGATTCATGCCAATAATATGTCTAAAACCTAGATGAGTCAGATTTAAAACCTGATTGAAACTGGAATAAAAGCTTAACCCCAAGTATACCATAGCAGCATAAATGTGGCCAATTTCCCCAAATTATGGCATATGAATCTGAGGAGATTTGTCTCACAAGTTTTCTGTTTCTTTTTGTTTATTTTTTTTTTCATAGTCGTCAGTTCCAACTTGAATTTTTCTTAGCATGCATTTTCTGTGTTGAAAACACTTTCTATTAAAATTTTAAGGGTATTCCAACTTCTAGGGTAAGTAAATAAGTGAAATCTGTAATAACTAGACAGCACAGGATCTGGCATTTCACTATAGAACATAGAGATACTTCCGAGGCAGACAGAATAGAGATGCAAAGTATTAATTCAGCACAGCATCCAACCCAGGATGAGGAATGTTTAAATGCCGCATGACAAAAATAAATCTCTCTTCCTGGAAGAACTTTAACCTCAGAGGAGAGGCAGCTCAAAGGTTTATTGTTGTCCGAGCCACAAACTAGACACCCCTCTTGATAAAAGACTTTGATCCCTGACCCCCGTAAAGTTGCTACGCTAAAAGCCATTTGTTTATTGATCTCCTCTGAGGAAAATGAATAGGTGTCTAGCAAGATGAGCATCCGTAACCAAGTCACTGTACTGAGAGTAGAGCCCAAGTGACCAGAGGGGGGACCCCAGGGCATCAGGCGCTGAAAGGGGGTTCGCAAGGAGCTGGGACACCTGGGCCTTTTAAGAGAAGAGCACAGTCTCTGCAACAAGGTGGGTTGGTGAGTGTAGCTCAAGATAGGAGGGTTTATTCTAGGATATCCTGACTAATCTTATTTAGACTTCAAGACACAAGAGGTAGGGTGGACTGACCTGGAGTGGAAACCAGTCTGAGATCAGGGCTCTTTGGGGGTTAAATATTTTAGTAACCCTGCAAGGGCACCCACCCACCCTCATGTGGTAATCCTGTGTACCCTACCTGAAGAAATGAGCCAGTGTTTCTCATCTGAGACAGAGATACAGAGACAGGACAATGTTGAGACTGTGAGGCTACACCGCAGTGATGGAGGGTTTGGAATTTCTGGATTTAGATGGTAGTACATCTGCTATCTAGAGCAACGAGAGAAAAATGGTGCCTGCTGTCTTTCTCCCATGGCGTCAAACCAGGATCGTCAGCTTTGCATATTTGGAGGAGAAATTCTCTTTAGAGGCTTGCTGTTTAGCTGCTAACTCTGTATAAATTTCTCTCAACAACAGAAACTCAAAATTATTAGCACCTCCTAGAAACGAGACAAAGGCCTGTCCTCGTAAACAGACCATGAGCAAGTCAACAACAGCAGCATTTGAGGGATTAATGCTATAGAGAAGATAAATGTGAGTGCAAGGGGGTGTCGGGTAAGGCCTCTCCCAGGAGGACACCTTTGGGTCAATCCCCAGCAGTAAGAAGGAGTGAACTGGTGGGAGAGTTCCAGCCAGGCAGCTGCTCTCAAGGGCAGAGGCCTCAAGGGAGGGACAAGCTTGGTGGGGCTTATGACCAGAAAGGCCAGCACAGCTGGAGCATAGCAGACAAGGCCCAGTGGGTGATGAGAAGGCTCTGGAGAGGAGCCAGATCACATAACAGCCTGGAGGCCGTGCTCTTAGTGTAACTGGAAGTCTCTGGAGGATTTGGGGGTTGGGATGGGGAAGGACAATGATCTGTTTTACAAATATCTTTATAGCTGCTTGTGCTACATATCTTTTGTTTTTGTAAATATTTTTTGTTTTGTAAATATCTTTGTAGCTGCTTGTGCTGCATAGATTGTATGGGGCCAGACTGAAAGTCAGAACTGTAGTTGGGTCTTAGTAACATGTCGTTTCTAAATCCCCAAAGCCTGGATGTCCTTCAGCACACTTTAATCTCTCTGTTTGATAATGATGCATGCATTTCACAACCTCAAAACCTCTCCACTTGCTTATACATCATAAAAACCATTTGTTGAAATTCTTTTAACTTGAAACATGATTGGTGCTTGTCAGCTTATTAAAGGTAGCGTCCTGTCTCCATCAAAGGAATTTTTTTTTTTTGCTTTAATCAGTTATTCCATTTTCCCCCCTACAGGGATCGCAATCATCCTTCAGTACCTTATCACTATTATGAGCCTTTTGGACCTGATGAATGTACAATGTACCTCTCCCATGAGCGAGGACGGAAGGGTAGTCATCACCGCTTTATCACAGAGAAGCGAGTCTTTAAGAACTGGGCACGGACATTCAATATTCACTTTTTTCAACCAGACTGGAAACCAGAATCGCTTCCTATAAATCATCCTGAGAATAAACCTGTGTTCTGAGGAATGAGCGTGCCAGACCAAAATCCTATGTACCTGCCATTTCAGACACCAGGGGCCCGAACTTCCTGAGCCACCAGACACGAAAGAAGAACAGAACTGGTAGCAAGAATAGCTTCACTCCTCAAGAAGTACTGTGTACAGATGCCTACGAAACGTAACGACAAAGCAGTGCAATTGGTTTGTAAGGGAAAACTCTAGAATTAGTACATCCTAATGAGTGCTGTCCCTTTCAAAAGGGCTTATCTTAGGAACAGAACACTCATTTCAGTGATGCTGCCATGGCTAAAAACATTTTGGATCTTTTTAAGTATTGCCTTCAAGACTGAAATATGAGCAACTCAACAATGTAATAGTTGTATTCCTTTATAGAAATAACACATCAACAGACTTTTTTCTATCAAGTTGTATCCTAACCTGTTCTGTAAACTTTGTCATCTGTTGGAATCTGTGTGTGTGATTTGTAAAAAGCAGCCTGAAAGTATGGACATGATTTCTGAAGAGCACATCTCCACTGACTTTCATAAAGCAAATGCCCAATATTTATTTATTGAGAGTTTTGTAGTGTACGCTAGGCCAGTATTTTTATAGATTATGATTATGTGGTAATTTATTCTTCCTGCCTCTTTAATCCTGAGTGATGGTTGGACAAGGTCTAGAACCGGGTTGATGAGTTCCTGTGCTCACAATGCTCATTGTTAGCATGCAGTTGGTATTTGGCTTGGAAATGTTGTGTTGCGTTATTTGAACCCTTAGGCTTCAGGAATAACTATGACATTTTCCAATGTGCGGAAATGCTCCAAATGACAAAACTGAAAACCAAAACCTGTGTCATTAAAACAAAAAGAGACTAACAAGAGAAATGTAAAGGCAGTTTTTTTTAGTAATAATTGATGTCGGGCATTTCACGTAAGCCCTTGCTTCCTCTTCCATAGAATGTGTCACTGTACCAGACAATCTCTTAAGTTTTATTCCAAATCTAAAATCCTATCAGCCTCTTGTGGACCCATTTAAGGCTCTGCCCTTGGAACCGCAGCTCCCACAGCAGCAGGAGCCTTATTTTAGGGGGCCTTTTATACTCCCCATACTACCTATCTCCCTCTTGGGGTTAAAAACACACTTCCTCCCTGGTCTCCAGGGGCTAAAATCTACACCTGCTTCTCTGGTCCTTCTTGCACCAAAAAAAAGCAAAAGAGAGAGAGAACTCCCATGGTATTCCTGGCTACAAGAGCAAGGAACTGCCCTTCTGTGAATCTGTGAGAATACAAGAAGATTTCCTATCCTGTGACTCACTGATCCGATGAACTGTTCAGATTCACTCACTGCAAATCTAACATTATATTCACTGCCATTCTCTGGTCTGGAGGACTATGAAGGACTTATTCTATTCAGAGCCAAGATCAGTTAGTATGAAAGATTTTCATTTAAGCAAGTAATGTTCAAAAATAGTCTTTAAAAAATATACCAGTGTTTTCCTTACACATGGCTTAGGAGGCATTAGTTTTTCTAATGTCAACTTTGGAGGCACCAGCAAATATTACGTATGGAGACTGACACTGTTTTACAGAACATGACCTGGTTTGTAATTAGAGAAGGTTTCTCACACGACCACTTCTTTTCCTTTTCCCTAATTAGTGCTAAGATTCCATTCCCTTGCACTAACTGGTACTGTAAATTATATGGAGTACTGTTGTTGAGATGCAAGCATAATCCAGATATTTATGTAGCAAAAACAAAGATGGTATTATCATGGTATGGCTTGAGCTGTTAAATGCCAGTACAAGTGAAATGTCTGTCCAAAACATACTAGAATGCGTTATTTAAATTTTCTCATAGTTTTTAAAAAGACTATAGAATTTTATTCCAGTACAATCTCTTCTGCATCATGGACTCTGAACACTCATTACTTTATGAATGTACGGAAAAGGTATGAATTTTATAGAATTGATTTATAGGCCACCTTAACCATCACTTGAAGAGATCATGTTGCTCTGATGTAAGTAGCTCCTTTAATAAGTTTTATTTCTATGGAAATATGCAAAGGCATACTTGGGACATGCAAAGATGTAACTCTATTACCTAATCTAATGATATCTCAAGTGTTTGTGTTATCTTCAGGGTTTACGGTTTTTGTTTTTTAGGGGTTTTTTTACAAAAAGAAAAAAGACCATATGATAGCTCCATCTTTTTTGTAACTTCTCCCTCTCAAATACTCAAAAGAGTGAAAAGCAACCGAATTCTGAAATTCCTGGCTTCACTGGGAAATACTTTAAATCTACATGTAGCTAGGATATGTGAGTATGTGAGTTTATATTTTTTAAAATATGGTGTAAATAAGTGTAAGAAATTATCACTTAGGCAGTGGTTTTATTATAGTATTTAAAGAAAATGCCTAGAATTCTGATAGATTGTGCCGATAGACCTGGTTGTGGGCAATTGAATTCTTATCTTGCCACTATCATTTCATGACTATCAGTCTTAACACCATTAATCATCAACTCTGATATAAAAGATGACTACAAAACCCTGTTTACAGACCTCAATGATTTCAATATCCGATCGTATTTGAAGCCTAAGTCATACTCATTATGTCACATACCTTTTTCTTCTCTCCCCAGCTGTGTCATCAGCTTCCTCCTAGGTTTTAAGACCACAGTAATACAAAGCCACAGCTGGCCGATCCATGGCGTCTGTTATTTCAATGCAAGAACATTTGGCAGAGGCCATTACAATAGATAGCCATTATGGGCAAAGATACAGGAATTCACAAACAAAATCAATCACTTCAAATGGCCCATAAAAAGAGGAATCTTACATTTAATATTCTACAGTAAATATTCACCCAAGAAAGCATACATTAAAAGAACATTAGGAGGTAAATATTCAGTGTGCTGTGTGGGGACTTCGCCGTGTGATTTCCATTACGGTTAATGGGTGTTTGGTAACTAAGTCCGTGTGCTTCACTAACCCTGGTATGTGCTCCCAAGGGCTAGACATAAAACCAGAGCGATTCAGGAACCTCCCAGTTCCTAAGATGTCAGAGTTAGAGCTTTTCTTCAAAAAATAAATGAAAGAAAACAAAGTGCTGTACCTATAAGAGAAATTCGTGTGTGGTCTCGTGGAATCTTTAGGATACTACCAGATATGCGTATCAGATTCAAACAACACCTCTCGGAACAGATTCCCTTTGTTTTCTGAAGTTTTCTCCATTACTGAAAATGGAAGGATACAACCTCGTTTTGAAATAAAACCCTCCCCTTCAAAGATTACAATTATTGATTTGGAAGCTAAATGAATGCTAGGTAAAGGTGGAAGGAAAACGCTGAAATTCTCTTAGGATTAAGACTGTTATTTAAGCACGTATGTACCTATTTGAGACCTCCCCAAATATTTTTCCATATGTAGGAATGACTTCACTTCAGAAGTATACCCTGGATTCCACTGGGGTGAAGATTGAGATTGTTCAAAAGACCTACTCTGAGAGAAGGCTCTATGTTCCTATTCTCTGCCCCTGCAGTGTTAGGGGGTGATGTTAACATGCCTACAGATTTCACACCTGACGCTACTTCATTTCTTCCATCCTCATTGCTTTTCTCTTGAACCTCATTCCATCTTTTGCTGTCACTCTCTCCTGATTGTCTTCTTTTGTCCACAGTATGCTGTGAAACCAGCAGTCTTTGGGGCTGTTAAGGTCTTCCTTGTGGGTTTTTAAGCTAAAGACCTACCTGGGGAACTGATTTGGAGTGGGTCCTGCCACAGCAATGACCATAATAGGTGGGAAGACTTCATCCGGCTACAGGACAAAGTCCTTCAGAAGCACCATCCAGGTTCCCCAGGGCCGGGGGAGGAGTTCCATGGACTTTCTGCACTAAAACCAGGATGGTCCAGGGCGAACTGGGACAGTGGGTCATGCTATCAAAAGGCCACCTCAAAGACAGCTATAATACTAAGACCTTAGGGGGAAAGTGAACCAGTTGCCTAGGTTCTAGCACTTGCCAGAAGGTAATTTGGAATGAACAGACGTGAGAGAGTGTCTACAAGGCTTAAAAATGAATAGGAGTAATCCCTCTGTTCTAGCTCACTCGTCCCCACGTACTCAACGTATTGAGCCACTGAAGAAATGCAAAAATAGGCTACAATCTTATTTGTTTCTTCTCAGTGCCCTTATTTACATGCTACCTTGACCTGTCCTTTGTCTTTTCATGTGCGTGTCCTGTTAGTCTAATTAGAGTGTAAGCTCTTGGAGAGCAGGGACCATTCTTTGTCTCTGTAGCCCCATGCCCAGTACAGTGCCTTGCACACAGTAGGCACTCAATAAATGTCTGTTGTTGATGACGACCTCTTAATGTTGACCCATTTGGCTGGTAATTGGTGTATATTCTTCCATTTAAGAAGTACAGGAGACAGAATAGTTGATGAAATAGTTAAATTTTAAGTGGTTTTTCAAGGGTCAGTCCTTAAACCTATAATGTTTTTAATCAACAAAGCTGACCTAGATTTAGGAGGAATAATGTTGCTGAATTCATTAGGTTTGCTAATGCTGGCTGTACTGAACACACAGATGAACTGAAGTTCAGCAAGCTTTGTGTTCTCGCTGTTAGTGGCTGCTCTTAGCACAAATTAAATTTAATATTGACAAATGCTATACCATATGCATAAAGGCGGAAAGGCAGCTTGGGCTCTGACTTCTTTGGTTCAACTACAAAAGCGAGGCCAAAATGAGATGTGTTATGGCCTGCCTTAAACTTGACAGCTTCCTAAAGCTGCTGGAATCCAACTGGTGGTTACTGAGGGTCTGTAAAAACTAAGCATACATTTATCTTAAAAACAAAATAAACCAAAAAACAACCCTCCTTTTGTTTCCATGAAGCAGATCCAAAATGGTTTCATCTCTACCAGAATGTGAGGGGAAAGGAGAACTCTTGGGAAAAGGTGTCCGCAGGTGGAGCACCCCAGATTCCTGAGACGCCACCTGGCCAGCGCCTGGTGTCCGATTACCTCCTGGTTACAGAGAGGGCAAGACGGCATAAAGTGAGTAAAGGTGAGTTAGCTGCCAATGGTTGATTCTACAAGGGACCATAATCATTATTTTCTTGAACATGGAGTTCCTTTCTTTCATTGTCTACTGTTCCACATATCTATTTAATTGTATCATCTCAATTCCATTTTTTAAAGCATAGGAAAAGGGCTAGAAGACACTACGTTAAAATGAGAAGAGTGCTTATTTCTGAATGGATAGATTATAGATTTTCCCACATTTTCAAAATTTTTGTTATAATCACAAAGTATTATTTCATAAAATATCAAGAAAGGCTTTATAACAGGATTTCAAACAGAATCCCAACAAGGATGTTAGGAAAAAGCTAGTATATGCCATGTCTAATTACACCTAAAAGAATCTCTTTGCCCACTGCATAAATCATCTCAAGAATTAGCATCTTTAGTTCTTTACCTTGTGACTAGTTCTTTAATTTCAAAACCAAATGTAGGAAATCTATGAGACTGAATCACAATCTTTCCAATTATATTTTATCTACTGAATATCCACTGGGAGCTTTGAACAATGTCACTTGTGTATATATTAATTTCACAATAATCCTGTTATTCCACTGTGCAAATAACTGAGACTAAGTGAGGTTGTATATCTGGCCCTCAGGATGATGAAGATAAGATGAAGATAAGAGTAGACACATGGCTTGCCACAAACCAGGCACTCTTCAAGTGTTTTACATATATAAATGCATTTAATCCTCACAATAACCCCAATAAATACATAGGTTCTTTCATCATCTCCCTTTTACAGATGTGCAAACTGAGGCACAGTGCACTTCAGTAACTTTCCCAAGATCATTCGGCTAGTAAGTGGGAAAGTCAGATCAGAAGCCACAGGGTCTGTTTCGAGTCTCCGCCCTAAGTCACCATGTACTTCCTGGCAGAAATTTAACTGTTCTGGTAGCAATTTCTATTAGAATAGTCATCATATTCTATTATGTCATATTTATAGTACATGTAACATTTGATACATACCAAATAATAGGTGACAAATACGCAAATTATGAAGCAAACCTAAGGAGAATATTACCACTAGCCTTCAAGCTACCCGAGTGTCCCTTCTATTGTCTTGCATTTTCTATTTGCCATTCTCTTGCTTTCTAAATAATTTTATTACATACAGATATATCGATAAATAATCCATAATTTAGTTTTGCATAGTAATAAGCATTATAAGATTATTATAACATTGTGTATTGTCTTCTGAAACTTGCTTTTTCTCCAAGATTTTACTCATTTTCATTGCATATAACTCTAGTTTACTTTTATTATTGTATAATGCCATTGTGTGAATATACCATAATTTATTTTTTTCCATGCTTCTTTCAGGTTTTCAGTTTGTTGCTAATATGTACAATACTTTTATGAACATTCTTGGAACGTTCTTTCAGTACATGTGTTCAAGAATTTTTATACAGAGTATACACCTAGGAATAAAATTGCTGGGCTATAGAATCAGATCATTCACGTGTATGATATTTCCAGATTGTTTTCCAAAGTGGTTGGACCCTTTATATTTCTAATGGTGGTTGTCCACATCCTTGTTAACACTTGACTTGGTATTTTCAGACTAAGTTTTGCCCCTCTGGCACATGAAAATTGTATCTCATTGTGATCTTGTCTTGCGTTCCCCTGATTCCTTATGAGATTTAGCATTCTTCTCTTCTTCATTAGTATTACCTCGTCTGTGAAATGGCTCTGCATCTTTGTCCACTTTTCTGCTGGGTGACTTTACCTTTTCTTTTTTCTTTTAAAGAATTCTTGATATATTCTAGCTACCATGTTTGGTAGATTGTATGTGTTGCAAATATCTTCTTCTGATTTGAGGCTTGTCTTCTTTTTCTCTGTGATGTCTTTCAATGAACAGAAGTTTTTAATTTCAATGTAGTCATGTTTTCTATCTTTTCTTATATGATTAGAGCTTCTTATACCTTATTTAATAAATCTTCCACTGCTTTTAATCAATAATGACTTTCCTATATTTCATTCTTAAAATTTTCAAAGTTTTTGCCTTTCATGTGGAAGTAAAGGGTTTATATTTTTGTTTAAAGTGAGGTGGACATCACTTTCGTTTTGTACAGATACCAACAGTCCCAGCATCATTTCCTGGAGAATTCACTCTTCTCCAGTGGTCTGCAAGCAAATTTCCATATATGTGAGGATTTATTTCTCTTCTCTGTATTCTGTTCCATTCTAACCAAATTGTCTGTCCCTGCACTGATAACACATAGTCTTAATCATCATAAGTCTTGATAACCTGTAGAGCAATTTCCCCCGACCTCATTCTCCTTCCTAAAGAATGTCTTACTTAGTCTTTTTTTTGTCACTGATTTTTACTGAGGTATTTTTATTCAATAAAGTACACAAATTCTTTGTATATAGATTGATAAGATTATATATATATATCTGTACACCCATGTAACTGCTGCCAAGATCACAACGGAGTACATTTCCAGCACCCCCGAAGGCTCACTTATGCTCTCTTAGTCAATCTTCCTGTCAGGGGTAACCACTTTCTGACATCGTCAATGTAGATTTGTTTTGCCTTTTTAAAATTTCATATGAATAGAATTATATGGTATGTCCTTTTTTTGTCTGTTTTCTTTCGGTCAAAATCATGTTTGTCAGATTCGTCCTTGTTGACACAGATGGCAGTAGTTCCTTTTTCATTGCTGAATAGTATCACTTTGCTTTAGAATTACCAGTTCCAATGTTGGCCTTTTGGGTTGTTTCCAGTTTAGGACTACTATGAATACAGCTGTTAGGAACATTTTTGCATATATGTATTTTGATGGACATAGTGCTCCTTTCTGTTGAGTATACGGCAAGGAGTAGAGTTGCTGAGTTACAGGACACACTGGTCTTTGGCCTTACTAAATATTGCCAAACAGTTTTTCAAGATAGTTGCGCCAGTTTACACTCCTACCAGCAATAACTGAGAACTCCAGTTGCTTTACATACTTACCAATGCTTGCTATTGTCAGTCCTTATAAATTGAACCCTTTTGCTAGCTATATAGTGACATATTATTATGGTTTTAGATTTATTTCCTTGATGAATAATGATGTTGAGCACCTTTCCATGTTTGATGACCATTTGCGTATCCTTTTTTGTGACATGCCTGTTCAAAGATTTTGCCCATTTCTTTTCATTGGGTTGTCATGTTTTTTCTTATTTATGGGAAGTACTTATACAGTCTAGATTCAAGTTCTTTGCTATATATTTTGCAGTGCGTGGTTTGCCTTTTCACTGTCTTAATGGTATATTTTGATAACTAAAAGTTCTTAATTTTAGTAATTTTAATTCCAACTAATCAATATTTCATGCATCATATAATTTGTGTCCTATTTGAGAACTCTTACCTAACCCAAAGTCATCTCTTATGTTTTCTTCTAGAAGCTTAATTTTTTTTTTCTCCTTTCCATGTTTGGGTATAGGAACATCTCAAAATGGTTTTGAAATATCATGTGAGGTAGGGGTCTAGATTCTTTTTTTTCCCCTTAAGGAAATCCAGTGGACACAGCACCTTTTATTGTAAATACCACCCTTTCTCCACTGAATTAGAGTAGTACTTTGGTGGTAGATCAGGGTACCATATATAGTGAATTGTTTCTTGACTGTGAACTCTGTACCATTTTTTACTCTTGCACTATTACCATTTTCTTAACTTTTATGACTTAATAAGTCTTGATATCTGGAAGTAGAAAGTATCCAGCTTACACATCTTCTTCAATATTGCTTTGACTATTCTTGGCATGTTGTATTTCCACATATAATTTTAGAATCAGAGTGTCATTTTCCTTATTTAATAAAACATTCTTGGATTTCTATTGAGATTGCATTGATTCTATGGATTGGTTTGGGGACAACTGACGTCTTAACAATATCAAGTCTTTCAACTCATGGATACAATTTGAAGTTTTCCATGTAGAGGTCTTCTACATATTTTTTTACATCTATTCCTAGGTATTTGATGGGTTTGTTTGGAACTACTATAAATGATTTTTTTTTCAATTTAATTTTCTACCTTTTTGGTATAAGTATATAGAAGTACAATTGATTTTTGTATATTGACCTTATATCCAGCATTAGAGCTGAATGAACTCAGTGATTGTCAAGTTTAAATTTAGGGCATTAATGGGGCTGGCCCCGTGGCCGAGTGGTTAAGTTCGCGCACTCCGCTGCAGGCGGCCCAGTGTTTCGTTGGTTCGGATCCTGGGTGCGGACATGGCACTGCTCATCAGACCACGCTGAGGCAGCGTCCCACATGCCACAACTAGAAGGACCCACAACGAAGAACATACAACTATGTACTGGCGGGCTTTGGGGAGAAAAAGGAAAAAAAAATAATAAAATCTTTAAATTTAGGGCATTAAAGTGATGTTGTACTCTTTTAAGTGCATTATCATATCAGGGGGTATAAGGTGTCCATATATTTCACTACCTGTGATGTTAAATTTGATGACTATATTAAGGTAGTGTCATAGTTAATTTTATGTATCAAGTTGGCTAGACGGTGGTGCCCAGTTGTTTGGCAAACACCAGTCTAGCTATTGCTGTGAATATATTTTTTAAATATGATAATGTTGACAATCAAAGTAGACTTTGAATAAAGCAGACTACCCTCCATATTGTGGGTGGGCCTCATCCAATCAGTTGAAAGCCTTAAGAGCAAAGACTGAGGTTTCCTGAGAAAGAAGCAGTTCTTCCTCAAGACTACAACAGCATAGCAACTCTTCCCGAAGACTGCAACATAGACACCCTGTCTGACTTTCCCGCCTGCTGGTCTGCCCTGCAGATTTCACACTCACACTGTAACATCACCTCTTATCTGAATTTCTAGCCTGCCACCTTGCCCTACAGATTTCAGCCTTGCTAGCCCCCACAATCACATGAGCCAATTCCTTAAAATTAATCTCTCTATAGATAGATAGATGATACACAGAGAGAGAGAGAGAGAGATAGATAGACAGATACATAGATAGACAGATCCTATAGGTTTTGTTTCTCTGGAAAACCCTGACTAATGCAGATGATGTCTCAGGTTTCTCCATTGTAAAGTTGCTATTTCCCCTTTATAATTATTAAGAATGTTGCGGGGAGATATTTTTTAATAGGCAAATATCCTGTTTCTCATCATAGCCATTAATTTTAGCTTCCATTGATAATTCTTGCTACAACAATTGTTACTGTGGTATTTGTCAAATGCCTGGGGTTTTTTCTATTTTCATCATTTATTCTATATTTATTTTCTCTAGAATTAGGAACTGTACTGTAAGGAAGAGCCATCCTTTCTTCCTCATTTATTCAGATTTTTAAAATTTCCCAATATATAGGGCTTTACTAATTTTTTGTGGTGATTCTAAAATTATATGTGGAAATACAAAATGCCAAGAATAGTCAAAGCAATATTGAAGAAGATGTGTAAGCTGGATACTTTCTACTTCCAGATATCAGGACTTATTAAGTCATAAAAGTTAAGAAAATGGTAATAGTGCAAGAGTAAAAAATGGTACAGAGTTCAGAGCCAAGCCTTATTGTTTGTGCCAATTAAAAGTTGATAAGTATATTATTCAGGCGATGGTTCTCCAGCCAAGGCTTCCCTGTAGGGTAAGAGAAAGCTGATAATTTGGATAACACTGTTCTCCCTGGTATTTGTGACTTTGACCCAGTGCTTGTTTCATCTCTTTTTTACAGGGATGCAGTGGAATTTTAGCAAAATGTTGCTAAAATACAAACACTCTTTTGTATTTTTGGCTGATGCACAGCCTGACCCTTTCTTTACAGTGTTCTGCTCTGGTTTTCAGCTTCCTCTTTTCCTAGTGTCACAACTACATCCTCCCACCTCTTGGACCCACATGTCTGCCTCTCTCCTGCCCTGGATTTCAAGAGAGATATGAGCATCTGACCTGGCATTTTTAGTAAGAGACAATGAAACAAGATGTTGACAGAGTTACCTTGATTTTTTTTTTTTTTTTTTTTGGCCCTACATTTTCACTATCACTTCTTGTTGTCCTTCTTTGAGGTAGTAACAACACGTGGGTTTGACAGTTGCCACATGGTTCATCCAGCTTAGCCCTCTGTGAGACTAGAGCTATCCATTCTGCATCAAATAAGAGATCTAGAAGGAGAGGCAACTCTAGCCAGGCTCACTCACAGGGTGAGAGACCATAGACAGTTCACTGGTAAGAGATTGGTTCCCACAATGTGCCAAATCAGGACTTTAGTCCTCAGAAAAGTCTTTGGATTTCTGTCAAGTACTTTCAGCATAAACAGTATTGTCAATAGCAACAGGTTCCACTGAGGAGGCAGGACCAAAGCTAAAGGTAAGTAGAGAGAAGTGAGCTTGGACAAAAAGGAGGAGCGCTACAAGGCGGGGATGAGAGAGCTTTGAAATAAAACTAGAAACATAGGTGGTGGTGAAATCATTGCCGACTTTGAATTGCAAGTTGAAGGTGTGGACTTGGTGATGTTTGCAGTGTGTCACTGAAATTTGTTAAGCATGGAAGTCATATGAATAAAGCAATGCTTTATGGGGTTCTAAGAATATTAAAAACTTCTTCTGCTAAGAATTATTTTTTAAAGAAAAACATCAAAATAAATTAAGTATCAGTTTTTCAATTTCTACAAGATTACTCCTTGTTCTCAATATAATTGTAAGTGGCTCTAATGTAGAGAGAAATGAATCTTTTTTGACTTGTTTTAGTAATAATAAACCTATATCCTTACCACCAGATATCTTTCACCTTAGATGAACCATCCCTATTGCAAGTGTGTGTGTGTGTAGTTCATTCTGTCTATATCTATAATGGGCTGATTCTTCAAGCAAAGGGCAGAAAAGGGAGACCTAGTTTTCCAATCTGATTCAACTCCCAAAGAACAGAGTTGTTGCAAGCAGAGACCAGGTAGTAGCTGTATGCTCTGGTGGACCAAAAGGCCTGTAAGCCAGCACATCTCACAGGCCCACCTTCTACTCCCTTCCCAGCTGTGTGCTTCTCAAGCACCTTGCTAAACCTCCATTTTCTGTAAAACTGGGTTTCCTCCTATGGTTTTTATTGTACAGCACTGTAGCAAGAATTACATAAGAACATATGAAAGGCTCGTCTCTGGGGTGACTCTGTCCCAGGGTGGGCAAGGAGGGGCTCTGAAAGTGCTCTAAAGAAATGGCTACGTATTTCTGTAGCCACCCATGAGGTCGAAGGTCTTACAGCCCCGTATTAAAACATCTTCCTGCCCGGGAATTGCTTCCCACCCAATGCCTTTCCTTCCTCCTGCCCACCTTCTGGCTCCCAGTCTTTCAATACTCGTGTTACGTGTTGCCTCTGATGAAGTGTTTCCTGATCTCCCCACGTGGAGCTGACCTCTCCTCCCACTGTATTCTGTATAGGTGTCTCTCCCAGTGTTTGTGCAACCTCTCACTTTCCACACTAGACTGGAGCCTTATTGGGTTCGGGTCTAGCTGGGATTCATCACCATATCTCCAGCACCTGTCATGGTGCTTGGATCCACATAGGTGCTTGAGAAAGGGAGGGAAAGAGGAGTTATTTCAGTCTATGTGAAGAGTTTTCTGTCCTCCGCTCATAATCCAGTGGGTGAGAAAGACGCACATATGTCGCGCTAACACAAGACAGTTGGAGGCCAGGCTCTGTGGGATAGGAGGAGAGAAGCTCTGACCAGGGGTCCCAGGGAGGCCTCCAGAGCTGTCTGGCGAGTAAGAAATGTCTTCATTCCATCTCATTTAACGCACAGTAATTTAACCATTTGATGGGATAGACTTGTATAAAGAGTTCCATAATAATTGGCTTATTTTTTTCCCCCCAACAGGTAGTTTCTTCCCTTTTGAAAAGTAAAGCTTTCAGGAATTATTTAATCTTTGTTTGAAGCCAATTAAATATTGAAGGCTCTGTTCCTCCTTTGCATAAGTCACCAGAATGGAAGGTTCGTCTCACGGGGTGTTGAGAGACAGGAGCGCAGAGCTTTTGGATCGACTCCCCGCCTCTCTCCACGCTCACGCTCGCGGCTCCCCTGGTGGGCTCTCATTACTCCTGCCTGGGCGAGCATGGTCTTGCAGGATTGCCTCTCTCTGATCATTCTGCCCTCGACGCAAAATGAGTCTCATAAAGTACTCGTTTCACTCAGAACCTCTCTCTGAACTCTGACCTGCGGCGAGATTTAGTCCTCATTCCGGGCCTGGACTCAGAGCCGGCAGTCTGCCCTGTTGGCTTCAGTCTCACCTCTCACAGCTCCTCCATGTGTGTCCTGAAGCTCTGGCCACATCAGGTGACGTAAGGTGGCTCCAGTTCCCTCGTGCCGCTCCTTGCACGTCGAGTGCTGCCCCTTCTGTTGAGGAGCCTTCCTACCACAAGTCTTTCCCTGTCTCCACACTGGCTTCGAAGCTCAGGGGAGTAAATACCTGCCACTGGCAGCCCAGCTTCCATTTTCCCACATTTCAGGTCACAGTTCCCCATATTTTCTTTGAAAAATCAATCCCTCCACTCTTAACCATATGGTTTATTGGGGATTAGCTCTATACACAGCTCCAGGGGTAGGCCCTGACTGTCTTAAACCTACTAGCATATCCTGTTCCCATCCCTGAATTAATTGGTTCCAGGATGGGAACACGACTCTATGCAGGGATACAAACTCTTCCCCCCAGCTCATGGTACTTTAGAGTTTGAGGCTGCTAACGCCATATTTGCTACCACAAGAAGAATCACCCTGGAAGTGGAGCTGTCACGGGGAAGCAGATATGAGAGAGAGATCTTAGAATGTCATTGAGTGCTGGATCGAGCTGAGCCTGAACTTGTACAAATCTCTCCAGGACATTCAATTATGTAAATAAATTTAATTTTTTATTTAAGCATATTTGTGTTGAGTTTTCTGTCATTTTCAAAAAATTTATGTCCAACTGATACTCTCAATTCAATAACACCTTCTAGAAACTCTCCTGGAGCTCTCTTTACCAGCATCTCGGCTCCCCATCCCCTACTGTAAACACCTTAGAGACTGAGAGTGTGTCATTCACGTAGAAGTATTCACACCTGACAAATATTGGAGGAATAAGGACACAGCATGTAGATTAGCTCAGCACCAGGGAGCAGTACAGGGCGTTGTCACGACAAGACATTCGTTGAATCTACCATCCTGTGGGCACTGTCCTTGCTGTGGTTCTCCATACTCATTGAGTCTGCTGGGTAGGAAG